CTCCTTTGCCTTCCCCTTCTACGGCCACCTCCTGCGGCAGGTCACGATAGCGACGGGCGGTGAGTCGGGATGGGAAGGGGTGCCTCAGTCGGCGTTCCCGCGGTGGGAGGGCTGGACACGGCTCTGGGGCCGGCTCTAACCTCGCCCCGCATCCCAGAGCCCGGGGAGCTCAGACAGAGAGGGGGCTGCAGCCCTTCTGGCTTTCTCCCTCCACCCCAAATCTAACCCCTGCCCTGCTGCTGCTGCTCAGGCAGTCGGGTGCTGCTGGTGCCCCGGTGTCTGCAGCAGTTGAGGAGCTGCAGGGGATGCAGAGGGGTCACACAGCCCTGGAGAAAAGCCAGGAGGGGATGCCGAGGGTAAAAAAAAAAAAAAAAAAGGGATGGGTGAGCCAGGGCAGTGTGGTGGGAGGTCAAAAAGAGGGAGGGAGCATCCCGGGGTGGTGGAGGGGAGCGTGCGCTGCTTCATCCCCCTCTGCTCGCTCAGGTTTTATCTTCATGGGGGACGTCATCCACCGGATGCTCACGGCCACGCAGTACGTCGCACCCCTCATGGCCAACTTCAACCCCAGCTACTCCCGCAATTCCACCGTCCAGTACTTGGACAACGGTGAGCCCCGCTCCGGCTGGCCCCCGTGCAAGCCGGGGCGGCTGCCGTACGTGCAGAGCAGCAGCCAGCCCAGCTGCCCGCTCCTTCCTCGTAGAACTGGGCAAAGCTCAGCTCTCTGGAGCAAACGGAGGGGCCGGAGCCAGGTGAGGGTGTGGGGAAGGGGAGCCCAGGGCAGCAGGGGCTGTTCGGCACCTGGGGGGTCTTTGGGTAGGGGTGACCGGGATGTTTGGCAGGAGCTTGTTCGTGGGTCTGCTTAGAGCGGCGTGCTGGAGGTTGCGGGGTGAGATGACTTGCAGCTTCACTGGCAGAAGAGGACTGGTCAGGCTGTTGAGATGTGGGGCCAGGAGAGATGAGAGGACTGATCCACTCTGGTATCTCCCCCAGGGACGGTTTTTGTGGTGCAGTGGGACAAAGTCTACCTTCAGGGGAAGGAGGACATGGGCAGCTTCACCTTCCAGGCGGCCCTGCACAGCACCGGGAGAATCGTCTTTGGGTACAAGGAGGTGAGGGATGTTTCTGCTGGGGAAGGCACGGCCGGAGGTTCCCTGAGGGGGATCTCTGTGGGTCTGGGAGGGGATCTGGTGTTGTAACTGTTCACACAGTGAGTCTGGGAGTTCCCAGTGCCACCAAAGCGCTGGAGAGCTCTGCAGCAGCACCAGGAGCCTGGGCAGGGCTGGGGTCCATCACGCCCTCTCTCCCCGGCTGCAGATCCCCGTGCCGGTCCTACAGATCAGTGCCACCCAGCACCCCGTGAAAGCTGGCCTCTCTGATGCCTTCATGATCCTCAACCCATCTCCCGATGTGCCTGGTGAGTTGCTGCACTTGAGGAACTGGGGGAGGCGGCTGCTGGGGCAGGGGAGCGGCTCATCCCTCCCTTGGGGATGCCAAGGCCCCCCTGGCATCGCGGCTGGGAGAGGGGGCAGACGGGGAAGGAGAGATGAGACGTTCTCATCTTTGGGCACCTCAAGACATGAGGATGCGCTGGTTGGATTCATGGCAAAGGGGCGTGAGGAGGTGTGCGGGGCTTGGCTGCACGGGTGCTCCTCGTGTCCCACATCCCCTGGTGCATCTCTCGCGGGGGGCATCTCTCCATGGCCAAGACCATCGCGCAGCCTTGTGCTCTGGGTGGCCCCTGAAGGTCAGCATGGCCCCCGCCCACGAACGCTGTGCGCTTTGGCGATGCGCTGCAGGCAAAAGGGCTTCGTGCTTCTCGCCCAGTGCGTTCAGAATCGCTGTGAGCAGCCAAGTTATTGCTTCCCTGATTTCCAGCTGATGAGGAGGAGGAGGAGGGGAATAACGGTTGCAAACCAGGCTGCAGACAGACGAGAGGCTTGCGGGGGGCGGGGGGCCTCGTTCCTCCGGGCGTGG